TGCCAACAAAGGATATATAACAAAGTATTGAGATGAACTTTTGATTTTGACCAAATACTTATTTTCCACCATAATTTGCAAATAAATTCTTTCCAAATCAGCCAATATGATTGTCTGGATTTTTTTCTCATTTTGTCTCTCATAGTTGCGGTCTACCTATGATGCCAATTACAGGCCTCTCTCATCTTTTTAAGTGGGAGAACTTGCACAATTGGTGGCTGACTAAATATGTTTTTGCCCCACTGTATTTCTGCTTTGCAAAAATGTTCCTGCTTGACATATGCATCATATTTATTACTTTTCAAATGGCTTGCATTAAGCATAAATATTTTCTGTAACACATTATGCTTTTCCAGAAAACACCAAGAAAATAAAAGTAAAAACTGTGATGAATACTATCCAAAAGAGTATGTTCATATAAAATGAAAGGCATAATGACAAATACTGCCATCTAAAGTACATTTTCCTCACATCCTCCTACCTATCCTGAAGTATTTTAATGCCTTTATAAAAGTTAGCAGATAATCTAAAATGCATAGATAAAATATAAAAAAGATAAAAAATAAATAAATTAAAACATTCAACAACCAATATGCTGGTTTTAATTTTAGATAAATTCTTAGGGTATAGTGAAATTAGTTTGCGCAACACAGTAAAACGTGAACCTGGGCATTGCAATGTTTCATCATTAATAAGTATTCTAGTTATTATTTGCACATTATAACAATCTTGAGTACTTGAACATCGACAAGGCAATAACACAATAAGTTTGAAGGGTCACTGGTGGAATTAAGGTGGGAAGGGTGGAGACAGGTACTCCCAGTTTCAGTCTGAGCTGAGCCTCCCTGATGCTATGGGTCTTCAACTGCTAGCGCTGCTGCAACATTGCTCATTCTCTCTTTAGAGGGATATCATGTAGCACAGGTTAAAATAATATATATACAGTGTTCAGCATGAGTACACCCCTTTTGAAAAGATTTTAGTCAATATCTCACTGAACACAAGAACAATTTCCAAACGTTTGCCAAAGTGGAGTTTAATAGAACATTTGTTTAGCTTATTACATAAAGGTAAGGTTAATAATATAACATATTAAAAAAATCTTCAGTTTTACTCAAATTAGTTGATGCAAAAATTAATACACCCCAGAACAAAACTACCACATCTAGTATTTTGTATGACCTCCATGATTTGTAAGAGCAGCACCAAGTCTTCTAGGAATGGAATTAACAAGTTGACATATTGCAACATTTCCAGAATGACCTCTAGTAGAGCTGGAATGCTGGATGGAGAGTGATAAGCAACTTGTCCCTTCAGAATTCCCCATAGGTGTTCGATTGGGTTCAGATCAGGAGACATACTTGGCCACTGAACCACTGTTTGTCTTCAGAAACGTAACAGTGGCCTTAGATGTGTGTTTTGGATCATTGACATATTGGAAAAGTGCACGATGACCAAGGGCACAGAGTGATGGTAGCATCTTCTCTTTCAATATAGACAAGTACATCTGTGAATTCATGATACCATCAATAAACTGCAGCTCCCAGACACCAGCAGCACTAATGCAGCCCCACAGAAGGACACTGCCACCATGTTTCACTGTAGGCACCATGTGTTTTTCTTTGTACTCCTCAGCTTTGCGACGCCATATAGTTTTGAAGCCATTCGTTCCTCTTGGTCTCATCACTCCAGATTACAGAGTCCCAGTAGTCTTCTTTTTCAGCATGTGCCCTGGCCAATTCCAGGAGGGCTTTTTTGTGTGCATGGGCTATAGCAGAGACTTCCTTCGTGAACGATACCCATGCATGGCATTCCTCTGCAGTGTACGCCATATTGAGTCACGGGAAACAATCACCCCAGCTGGGCTTTCTACTTCTTTAGCTAACTGCAGTTAATTTGCATGGTGATTTTCTTCAACCCTTCTCATCAGAAGACACTCCCGTTGAGGTGTTAACTTCCATCGACAGCCTGGACGTCTCTGTGAGATGGTTGCAGTTCCGCCTTTCTTAATATTCTGTAGAACTTTTGCTTAAGCCTACACCTTTCTTTTGTAATGAAATAATTTTCTCTTTCACAGGCCTTGTGACATTTTTTTCTTCTATTTGGTGCCATTGCTGACAGCATGAAATGGGAAGGGGTTTTTCTTTGTTAAGTAATACCCTTTTATAATCATCTGTCTGCTGGATACCCGTTTAATGAGTAATTAGACTCACCTATAGTTGGATTCATGTGAATTAGAATTTTGCAGTCTAAAATTTAGCTTTGCTCCTAAGACTTTCATTGGGGTGTATTCATTTTTGCAACATGGTCTTGAATGAATTTGCTAGAAAAAATACTTTTTTGTGTGTGCAAATTATCAAACCTTGTTTGCAATCAATGGTCCACATTTGTGGGAGTATTTTGCATTATAGTGTCCCCTAGAAAATGTTGATTCTGAAAGAAAAGCAAATGTTTTCTGACAAATCTGTTGGGATGTACTCATTTATGCTGAGCACTGTATATATCTAACGCCCATGGGTTTCTGGACCCATACGCATATACAGGGGTTGGACAAAAATATGGAAACACTACGCGATTTAAAGGTGTGAAAGTGATGACATGTTTCGCATTGAAAGTGTAAGTGGTGTAACATTCTTTTGCTTCCACTGTGTGATGAGACACCTAGCTAAGAGTTTGGAAGCCTCACTTCCGTCATTCACTGCTTGCGCTGCTAATAATACAGAATCATGTCAGAGCTTACTGAGTTTCAAAGAGGGAAAATCGTTGGTGCCCACTTAGCTGGTGCCTCTTGACTTAAGTTGCGAATTTGCCATGTTGTGAGGTACAGTATATAAAGGTTATGACAGCATATACAGTTTACGTGAAACCCTTGTCTCAAGTTTAAGCACACAGTCGACATGATTAACTGACTGAAAGACAAAAAGTACAATGCGCAGGATTGTGACCTGGAATAAGAAAACAACTGCTGCAAAAGTGACTGCAGAGCTCAATCACAGTCTTCCAAAGACCACAAAAATTGTGCGGAGGGAACTCCATAAGCAAAACATTCATGGGAGAGCTGCAATTGCCGCACCACTAGTGGCCGATATTAATGTTCAGAAGAGGAGAGTGGCGCGACACCCATAAATCACGGACCATCGATCAATGGAAGACTGTAATGTGTTCCGATGAATCGAGCAGCACATTGTTCACATTGTGAGTGTGTATGTGGGGCAAACACAGTCCCAAGCCTACAACCAGAACGGTCTTGTGCCAACAGTAAAAGCATGGTGGAGGCGCAATAATGGTTTGGGCAGCCATATCTTGGTATTCGGCAGGCCCACCTTAAAAGGTAGAGTCCCTGCCAGCGACTATGTACAAATTTTGGCCAACTGTGTGCACCCCCCCATGGTGCAGACATTGTTTCCCAAAGAAAACAGATGATGCTGATCCAATTCACATAGCTGGTGTTGTCAAATAGTGGTCTGATAAGCATGCAGACGAAGTCTCGCATATTCTCTGGGCGCCGCAGTCACTGGATTTCAATATCATATAGCCACTATGTTCAATTTGGGAAAACAAGATTCAAGCTCATTTTCCACCTCCAGCATCTCTGCCAGAATTGGAAAGATGTTTGCATGAAGAGTGGCATCAGATTACATTATCTACCATCCAAGATTAATATTTGTCAATTCCCAAGAGCATTCAGACCGTCTTGATGCCAAAGGTGGTCCAACAACATATTAGGTAACAATTTTGTTTTTAGCTGGTATTTCCATAATTTTGTCCAAACCCCGTAATTTATACATGGCAAAGTCCCTCAGTAAAAGCAAAGATAAAGATATTGGCTAGTCATATTAGATAATTCATTACAGATAAGTTGTTAAAAACATAGTCCTAAATAAAGCTTAAAAGGCATTATAAAACCCTCCTATTTGCACCTTGTGTTTTTCACCTGCATAACATGTGCAATGATCACGTAGTTCATGGTATCATTTGTGGGACTGTATGTACAGTCTATAGTGGAGTTAATCTTCACATTTTGGCGTCTGCATTTTATGTTTGTGTTCAAACAAAAGGCATGCAGCATGACACTGCACAGGTTAATGCATGACCTCTGTCTGTAGTCTAAGAACTGGCACCTCCTGTGAAGAAACTACATATCCCACAATCCATGGGTCTCTGTCTAGTGTTCTGCAGGTGAAAACGAGTAATTAAATGTGGAACAGGCAGAGCAACGAAGGTAAGAGATCACATTTGTGATGCAAAAAAAAAAAAAATGTGAATCACTGTGTGACCCGGAACAAGAAGCTGTCTTGCCGCTACAGCAAATAGGGACTAGCTAAGTGAACGAATACATGGACATAGGAGAATTGATCAGCCATGATACTTCAAAATGAAGCTACAACATGTGTGTCCATCAAGTAAGACAAACAAATGACACAGAGATATTAGCTACACTAATACCTAGTGAAAACAACAAAAACATTTGAAAGTGTACAATGAACATGCAGTAAAATCTCTCAATGTCCCCATCAGTACACCATCACTCGGCAAACTCCAAACTGCCTTTCCAGCCTTCGGCATGACCCCATATTATCAACAGTGTTGACTGATTTATAACAAAACAAAAGATTCTCATGTAAGCTTGAGATGGGTAACTGCCAGGCTTATGATGTGAAGCTTCCCATGGATTATGCTTCAGTGTATTTGAAGGCACACAGAGATTTAGAAGCATATTTGGTGAATTTGTTCCGGTTTCTTTATACCAGTGCAAAAGTAATCCTACAAGATTAATCTTGCATTAACCACCTAACAAGCTCTTGTAGTTACATATAAATGCGAAGTCTCTTGTGTAGCTTGCAGAGAAGATACATAAACATTAAGAAAATGACAGCATGTACAGTAAATATTCTGAAATCTTTCCCATAAAAAGTGATATTTATTCTCCAGCTATTTTCTGTATGGAACTGCATGAAAATGTGTTTTTTTTTTTTACACCAGGACTTGTACAGACTCACCAAAAGCTGATTCTCCGTCAGCACTAGTTCAGTGAGGCTTTCACATTCTCCAATGCATTCAGTCAGTTGCATGAGACGATTCTGGTCCACTTTAAGTATTGACAACCTTTTAAGTTTCCCTATCAAATTGGAAACACAAATACATCAGATTCTCAGAGTACATATAACAAGATTCTGAATTAGAATATGCATTTATTCTCTCAGTATTAGCCAAAAGGTTACAGTTGATCCAAATTTGCCTACTACTACAGGGAATGTGTTCTCTGAATGACACCCATACTGAGCAAGTGCCCTCTTATGCAGCAGGGCAGCTGCTCAGCACAGCACCTGAAAGCTAGTGGAGATCACTGTAGTAGCTGTGTCTACTACAGTGATTTCTATCTACTAGAGGGACCCCACAGGTATGGCACATACCTTGAACCATTGTAGCTATGCAAAAATTGCCATACATGAAATTTAGCTTTAAAACCTTCCAGAAGTTTTAATTTGTGCTACACTTGCATTGTATTTAAACTCGTCCTTTCTTCACACAATTGATAAGTGTAATATAGAACAAATAGTTAAATGTAAAAAGGTACTTCTTAAAAAAAAAATCTTTGGAGACAGAAACATGTACAATGAGGCTTTAAATACCCCTCCAATGGTCAAATATACACGACACAAAATAATAAAAGAAATTACATGTCTTTATTGCATCAATTTAAAAAATACTTTCCATCAAAAAGATACATAGTTTGAAATAGGACGTCAACTCTACCACTTGTCTTCCACATGAATAAATGGAAGAACTGTAGTATGAAAGTCCTCCGAGATCTTTGAATGTAGGTTGACGTGTTTTGCGGGATGACCCGCTTCAACAGGACTTTAGATCGCAAGTATAGATACAGTTGACCACTTCCAAAACAAAAGTTCAAACTCACTTATGTATAAGTCTCATAAGTGAATTTGAGCTTTCAGTATGGCAGGAATATGTGTGCATATGTATCCTGTATGTATCTCCTTTTACCCTCCTCCTCTTTGTCTCTTTTCCCCTTCCGACCTTCCCTTTTCTCCCCTCTCTTCCTGGTTTAGGTTTTTGTAGACATATATCAAGTTGCTGTTTTTTTCAATATGTAACATGTATGATGTTTGGCTAATTTGTATTTTTTTAATACTATTTTAATGGTCAATTTATATTTGAGATATAAGGTCATGATGAAGCGGATTATCCTGCGAAACGCATCAACCTACATTCAAAGATCCCTGAGGACTTCCATACTATAGTTCTTCCATTTATTCATGTGGAAGACAAGTGGTAGAATTGATGTCCTATTTCAAACTATATATGTTTTTAATGGAGAGTAGTTTTTAAATTGATGTAATAAAAGACATCTAATTTGTTTTAATATTTTGTGTCGTGTGTATTTGACCACTGGAGGGGTATTTAAAGTCCCACTGTACGTATTTCTGTTTGCGGTGTTTCATATAGGGATGACATACTTTAAATGGTATAAACCACGATTAATAATATAATATATATTATGCACACACACTAGTTTTTTTTTTAAACCCTTGTGGATGTTTCACTTAACACTTCAGGCCATGTCACTACAGCAACTGTGTAGAAGCTGCCATTTCTCTGCTTATTTTTCTTGGCACTGTACAGCTAGTTACAGGGTAGCTGCGGTCTCTCCAAATACAAATCACTGAAATTGTCAAGGCAGAACTTTTATTGACTACAGCTCGTATATTCTAGCAACCAAAAAAAAAGAAGAGAGCATGTTTGTAGCCGCAATAAACTTCTGCTGCTGCAAAAAAAATCTGTATATATACAATTAAGCACTTGTTTACAGCAAAAAAAAAAAAAAAAAAAAGGACATGGCAAAAATCTAAACATGTTTCCAATAGTGTGGGGCTACCACATATCTCCACTTGGGTCCAGTATGTAAAAGGAAAACCAGATAACGCACTTGCAACTTTCTGTTAAGTTTTTCTTTTCTTTTTAAATATCTCCCCCCCCTCCCCATAGCCTGGAAGCAACCAAGATTTAGAAAAAAATGAATGAATGCATTTCTGCTCTGAAGAGGGCTGCTAGGTATTTTAAGAAGAATTGTATGGGACCAATAAGTACCAGCTAAATTTTTTTTTTTTTTGTTGTTCATGTAAACCTATCTGTATCAGGTTTTTTTGATAGCATATAGTCTGCCTTTGTTCAAAGTTCTATGTGAACTGATAGCCATCATTACAATTATCCAAACTTATGTCTTACCAATGCCATCAGGTAAAACCTCAATTAAGTTCTGTGACACAAGCAGATCTGTTAATGAAGTCAAACCGCTGATCTCCTCTGGTAGTCTTTCCAGCTTGTTCTCCGACACATCCAAACAAAGCAAGCTTTTCAGATTTCCTATTTCCTACAAAACAGCGAACAAGACAAAAGTCCAAATAAGTTTCACATATGTCCACACATATTCAGTGTCCTGACCTTGTCGAATGAATACTACTAGAACCTGTAGAAGAAAGGTTTATAGTAGCTTAGCCCGATTATATGCAAGTACATTTCTATCCATCCCACTGCACAATCCCAGACAAGTAACACAAAACAGATCTTCCATAGTATGAAAGAAAAATCTAAAATATGGTTAAAAAAAAAAAAAACAACCTGATACGTTCGCCATTTCTAGCCTGCTCTGTGCAATTTCCAAATTCGTTTTTGCCATATTTCAACTGTATTTTGTATACTACCACTGCCTTCAACTCAAATCTTCTGAGAAGTTACACCACCTTAAGACTGATGTAGCCCATTATTTTCAGTAGAGAGATGTGCCAGTTTGTTTCCCAAAACTGTCCATTTTTATGTCAATGTTTTACAAAATAAGAGAAAACATAGCAAAAATTTCAAAATTTCTCAAAGATCAAATTATGACTGCATGCATATTCTATGGATATAGCCTATGCAGATGCATGGGCATTTTGTAATATATCACTTCTACTTGAATACGGCAGGCCTTAATGAAAAAGAAAATCCAGCACATTTTTTTTTAAATGTCAGGGGATATTTATCTTTTTGTCAGGGATCCTACAACTACAGCCGATGTAGAGATGTGGACTCAGGGCTGGTGCTATCACTAGGCAAACTAGGCAGCCACGTAGGGCGCAGGCAAGGCCAGGGGCGCCGAGAAGGCATTACAGCTGGCTCTGCTGTAAAATTAATACATTTTTCCTTGGCCCCATTTGTTTACCAGAGGGGCCCAGGAAGTGTGGAGCAGAGGGGGACTCTTTAATTTACGGCTCAAGTGACCAAAGCCAAGCTGTGTTTGGAATGCTAATCAGTGGCAGCCACCTGTGGCTGCTCACAGCCTTTCACTGGTGGAGTGATTCTCCCTTCCTCCGCAGAAGGACAGTAGGTGAAGGTAAAGCTGTGGCCTGGTGGCTGTAGGTGATTCAACAGAGAGGTGGCTAAGGGCAGAGGCAGCAATGGGAACCTGGTACAAAGGCAAGCTCACAATTTGTTTTCTGATGCACAGACAGACTCTGACAGACAGACAGACAGAGCACCTTCTGTTCTGTGATGTGATGATGATGATGATGATCACATAAGCACAGTGAAATGCTTCCTGTTAGTTCTTATTTACACTTATGTTTGAGGGTGATAAACATTAATTCCAAATTCATAATTCGGCACTTATGTTATAGCTTGCAAAATATTTGGTTTTTATGATTAACCATAATTAATATTAAAATGTGTGAATGGCCTTGAATCAGTGATAGTGTTAATTTCTTCAGTTATAGCTGAGACAGGAGTAAGCTGAGCTAACTAGCTGAAAGCTGAGTATTCTATAGAAGGGCATAGCTGGTTGAAGGACTCTAGTGTAGAATGTCATGGAAAATGTGTAGCTAAGCCACACCTTTACCACCCCCAACCACTCCCCATTATGCTGCAAAGGTCCTGCCACTGTAGTATGGCAATAGAGGTGGGGTTTAGTGTAAAACCTCTCGATGCCGTACTACAGTGGCAGTGCCTATGTAGCATAAAGGGGAGTGGTTGGAGGATGGTAAAGGTGTGGCTTAGCCACACATTTTTAATATCCCTCAAACACAAGTGTAAATAAGAACCGGAAACATCTCATTGAGTGTGTGTGAATCGGACAGGTTGATTGCCAAGTGTAAATGATCCAATAACTGTGCAGCCTCTAGATCGCCTGCACACCCCACATGTGCCCTGCCATGCTTCCCAGGCTCCGCACTCCCAAAAGCAGATCTGGGACCTGCATGGTGGGTGCCACTGGTAGAAGGGAGTCAGATCAGCGAACACCTGTTCACTGATCTCCCTTTCCGGTTAATGACCCAGAAGCAATGTGTAAAACATCACTTCTGGGTCCTGGTGTCACTGTACCCAGACAGGATTGGATGATGTTAGCTGAAGACAAAGCTGTCTCCTAAAAAACTGCAACCAATCCATGAAGAAAAGGCATCCAAGCCAATCAGGTGCTGCACAAACCAAGCTTCCTCCCAGCTACCCAGTCAATCAGCTTCCATATGGAGTGAATGTTGGCAAGGATTAGCTCTGTGTGGAGTTTTGTTTTGAAGTTACTTTTTTTTTTCTTTTTTTTTTTTTTGGGTGGGGGTTGCAAGTACGTGGTCTTGCCTAGGTTGCAAAATAGTCTAGCACTGGCCCTGTGTGGACTGAAATATGAAACTACTATCCATTCTATTCTAAGAATCTGTGGCATCAGCACCCCTGTACATTGAAAGTCTAAATTGAAATTCAAGGGACATTCATATATGAAGCAGACCCTGTGGAAGTAGACAAAAAAAAACACTATTTAAATCAATCTTAAACAAAACCTTATCAGTGTCTTAAAGTGAATGTAAACCCTAGCAGTGAACTTCTCTTAATGTTTCCCTTTTGGCCTGTTAAATGAACCTTTGAAAGTGTTTTGTTATATCTGCTTGATATGTGCAAAAAATACCGGTTGATAGAAATTCAAAGCTACATTATATGCATAGGTCTTACCTACTACAGAGCAATTATACTCTATGTTGTGGAGAGGAGGAGAAAGTATTCAGCAAAAAAACATGGGCAGGGCTGACGCAGTTTCTCTCTCACCGGTACTATCATCGTTTCATCATAAATTTTAGGCCACAAAATCCTGTGAGTTGCCAGTCCACAACAGGAAAACAAAAGCGGAATGCATTTTTGATAGTTAAATATTGCACAATATTTAAAGGTATAAAACATACAGAAAGGTGCATGTATTGCAGAGATTTACTGCATACCTTTTGTCAGGGATCCTCTCGATCCCCGCCGTGATGGTCCCGGCGCAGGCGCACTGCACCGCCCTGTGCGGGGACACGGGCACTAGTTCCGGGCCGGCCGCGGCGTTCGAGTTCGCGCATGCGCAGTAGAAGCCGCGGCCGCCCGCTGGGCACCAATGGCAGTGCAGGGCGGGATATTTAAATGTCCCTGTGCTGTCATTTCAGTGCCTTCTGGTCCTACCTGTATCCTGCGAATCTGAACCTGTGCCTTGTAAGTTTATTGACCCGGATTGCTCTTGACCTGCTGATTCTCCTGCCCAGACCCTTGCTTTGCCTGACCTCTCTTCCTGAATGCCCCTCATTAGATCTGACCTACTGTTGCTGACCTGGCGTGTGACCCGACGATTCTCTGCCTGCTCCCTTGTACCTTACCGCCCTCTACGTTACCAACTCGGCCTGTCTGACTTCGCACTTGCTCAGCCATCCATCCATCCCATTGGGGTCACCCGACCTCCTTACATTTGGCTCTCCCTGGTTGGAGCCCCTGGCGAACACCCCTACCACTGACAGGTGTGCTCAGTAGTTGCGACCTGGTCCCGGGGTACTACAAGTCCATCCCCACCATCAGGGGCCCTGGTGAACAAGTACCCTGGGGCTTAGACTCCGCGCTCTGGGCGTGCCTGACCAGTGGAGTGCTAGTGGTGCCGTCCGGCTGTCCCTCACACCTTTTGTTTATCTTTTACCTTTTCCCCCAACATGCGCTTTAAGGCAACTTGCTAAAAATATTTGCACTGCACAATGGAGGTATGGACAATGGAGCTTAAAAAAAAAAAAAAAAAAAAAACTAGGAAATGCATGTCATAATATTAAGGGCTTTTTTCCCCTCAGAGAACAGGTGCAGGCATGACCTCCTTTTGAATCACCCTTTGTCTCTACCCCCTACCCATTTCCAAGCACCGTCCCTTGGTTCCACCCCTATCCACCTCACAGTACGGCCCCTTTAAGAGAATACAGACAAGTATTTTGTGCTGCTAAGCAATTTGTATGGAATTTGTTAACCACTTGATATCCGAAAGATTTACCCCCATTTATGACCAGGCCAATTTTTGCTTTTTGGCAATGAGTTACTTCAACGGACAATTGCACGGTTATGCAACTCTGTACACAAACAAAATTATTATATTTTTTCCCACATATAGAGCTTTCATTTGGTGGCATTTGATCCCCACTGAGTTTTTTCATTTTTTGTGCTATAAACGAAAAAAGGCTGGAAATTTTGATAAGCAATATATTTCTACTTTCTGCTATAAAACATATCCAATAAAAAAAATTAAAAATAAAATTTCTTCATACATTTTGGCCAATATGTATTCTGCTACATACTTTTGGTAAAAAAAAAAAAAAAATCCCAGTAAGCGTGTGTGTTGATTGGTTTACACAAACATTATAGCATCTACAAAACTATAGAATATATACTGGAATGGTTATTTTTTTATACTTGTAATGGTGACGATCAGTGACTTGTAGTGGCACAGCGATATTGTGGTGGATAATCTGAGAGTGACACTTTGTCGGAACCAGTGACACTAATACAGTGATCAGTGCTAAACATATCCACTGACGCTATACTAATGAAGGGGTGTTGAAATATTTTAAAAACTACTTGTCCACGGACTAAATCAGGGTCCCAATCTACTTGTCCCTCATGACAATCTACTTGACCTGAAAGGAAAAAAAAAATGATTGTAAAAACTGATATAAAAGGCTTAAATTTAAAAAAAAAACAAACAAAAAAAACCCCCAAAAAAACCCCCAAAAAAAACAAAAAAAAAAAAACACATCATACTTACCTGCTCTCTACAGTGGTATTACACAGAGCAGTCCGGATCCTCCTCTTCGAGTCCCCCACAGCAAGCAACTTACTATGGGGGCACCCGCTGCTCTGTGTGTCCATTCACACACAGAGCCGTGGCTTGGTCCTATCCCCTCTCTCTTCTCATTGGCTCACTGGCTGTGATTGACAGCAGCGGGAGCCAATGACTAGAGGAGCAGCTGCACAGAGAAGGTTTTTTTTACCTTCATGCATGTATCAGAATTTGGTAGAGCATCCCTTTTCATCAGAACGTGGCAGAGCGGCCCCTTCCATCAGAACGTG